GGACTCCAAACCGAAACCGTAACCTTGCCTGCGGCGGGCAACATTGCTCTTCTGTCGTCACCTACATCTCCAACCACCTGATACAAATCGTGACGTCACGTACCAGGCGGCCGGGCGAAGCTCGGCTCAAGGGCGAAAGATTCCGCTGCTATACGATCGGCAGTCTGCTAAACCGGACGACGCCTGTACTCCGCGGCCGCAGCTTGTGTTCTAGCCCAGAAAAAGGCAAGTTTTCCCAATGGTTTCATTTGAAAACATTAGTAGAAAGTGAAGTTCTGGAAACCACACGTGAATATGTCGCGACGGGCTTGTCGAAGTATATCGCGCTCAGCGTCGCAGACTGACTTTCTCGCACGCGACGGACACTCCGACGATAACGCATGCTCGTTTGGGAGCACACAAAAGCATGCGCGTTCCACGAATCACGTGGTCAACGATGAGCGCGCTGCTAGCGCAGGCTGTCGGCTTGGCTTAAAAATTCACAAAACAAGCAAACAAATATTCCCGAGAGCCTTGAGCATGACGTAGGCAGCGCAGGGTAGGCTGCTACGACACGGTGGTATTAACTGCGCTGCCGGCTTCGTCGCTCCTCACCCACTAGGATTAGCAGATTTTGGTAATTTCGCGCACCTGAAACTTGGTTTGCCAGTTTCATCATCTTTTAGGCAGAATTAGATAGAAATATTTATATCTGGCATGTGCTCTTTTTAGGGGATTCTAAAGATAATTACATCGTTTTTCTTAATATGTAAAATCAACTGAAGTTATCTTTTAAGTATTTACCCGGTTGCTTTCTTTTGAACGAATTAAAACTTAGAAGTTAAATAATCTTGATATAGATGCCATATAATACTTGCATGTTGTAGTTTAGGTGGTAGTATTGTTTTGTAGTTGAGTCCTTTTGTTGCAACACGGGCTAGACGTGAGCTCCGCTTTAACAGACCTACTGATTTCAGTGTGCTTGCATGAGGTTGTCGATATGATGACTACACGATAATGATTCTGAAATATGACTATCCAAGCATTCGTGAACCAACGTCACTGGATCAACTCGGTTATGAGACTGAACATAAAGCTGCTTCCACGAGCAGTTCCACCTCTCCACCTTTTTGGGTTATTGCGTGCTCTATGGAGTAGAGAGCTTTCGAAGCGAACCAGTTAGACGGCGCATTACCGCACTCTATTGCGGACACACAGGAGCTAATACAGCAGCGACGGCAGAATATTGAAATGTACGAAGTCACTCAGCGGCCTAACTAAGACGGAATGGTGGTGATCAAGGTGTTTGATCAAAAAATTCAGCTGCCTGAGCGAACCGCAGAAGTAGCAGTTGCGGCAGCCCACAGGCTCAAGGTTAAAGGAAGCCAAAGCAACTACATTATTGGTGATGTTCAGAGAACAAAGAAGAGATATCCGCACTCAGAAGCGAGTGGCTCAGAGATGAAAAGCTGTACAATAACGAGAACTTAACAAGGAGAAATATGATCCCGATGTGAAACACTGAGAACTGCGCTAAACAAAAGTCAGCACGTTTGTATGGAACAAGAAAGGAAATACTATTTTCGTACACCAGAAGGAAGCTGCAGCTGCAATTCACATCGAAGTGGAAATATCCATAAACAAAATGAGTCAACGACGGAAGGTACGATCGTGCCATTAAAAGAATAATATGAAAACACAAAACGCGCCTCAGGAAAAAACTCAGGTGGAATAAAGCTAAAACTATTTGCAAAGGCATTGTGATCAACTTATGATGCTGTTGTCCAAAAAATAGCTTTCCTCGATGAGTTCTTTTTACGTAACATCAATATGGAAGAAACGTGTAATACGTTCTCCCTATATAGTTTTCGTGCCTATCTACCGTTGCCTATCGGAAGGAAATGGTCGTTTGATAATCATGTTTGTTAATGATAATTATTTATCAATACCAGAAACATTTGAAATTTTATTGTATGCTGAACCATGCGTTCTATTCATCCACAAAACCGCATGTTTTTACATTGTTCTTGATTTATATTGGTGAACTAGCTCAAAGGGAAAGATGGTCATTTAGTAAATGTTCGGCCTTTATAGTAAATTTAGCAATAACTAATATTTGTACTCGCTGGTGATATGAATACTTGTTATAAATGAGGCTAAATTCGGAGTCGATTTATTTAAAAACTTTCTATTATTTTTCGACTTGAAATGTACTACACGACCTTATGAGGGAAGAATCTTATGATAAGATTACTATAGCATGCAAATATGATATAGCTACCAAAATAAGTAACTTGGAAATATTATCTGGAGTGATAAGAGCAGAGGTAGCAGGTCAATATTTGATATCTTTAGTGTTATGAGGTGACACTCAAGCAGATAACAGATCTTTAGCTGATCGATTTTTGATAACAGAAAATCGATCAGCTAAATTGGACTTAAAATTAAATTTTATGAATATTTCAAGACCACACGACTTATAATATCATAAAATACATGTTTCAAAACATAATTATAATGAAAATTTTATTTCCATTAGTTATGATCGGGAACCCAAGTAAAAAAGCTGTAAAGCTCAGCTTGACAAGTCCTTGGGCCCCTAAAATATTGAGCGGCGAGCGCAGAAAAAAGAACTCTCATCGAAAACAACGCACAGAAGAACAAACTAAGGTATAAAAAACATCATACTCCTAAAAAAACGAAAAAACACATCGCATACTTAGCAAAAATCGTGAACACGAATACAACTATAAACCTTTAAATTTAAGGCCGTCTAGATCCACAACATTCATACAAATACCCAAGCTACTCATACAATGTGGTGCTGTGAAAGTTATCATTTGAGAACGATCATTTGTTTGCTGTGTGGCCATCCTCCGTTTTTCTGTGTTACGGGTAGAGGAGGGTGGTAAGTTTGCCCTCAGCGACGTGAGGATTTGCGAGAACAAATAAAAACTTAGACGCCTGAAGGCCTCCTTCTTAAAACTTGTACATAATGAGTAAAACATATAAAATAGCGCAACATAAAGACAAGGACAAGAAGTATACAAGACAGGCGCTAATGTGTATTTATATAACCTATAAATATAAGTTATATGATAGTTCCTAAATAAATTAGTGGTATGGGGGTGACGTGGTAGGTTACATATCCATCTCAATATACGTTTTCATGGCAAGAAAGGTTTTGCGATGGTAGCAATTCTTGGAGTGCCATAGACAAAATAGGAATATGTTAAATTTTAATAAAATAATGGTCTGTAAAGCAACAACTTAATATTAATTAGCAAAACAGACCAGTGGCGATCAATAATTCCCAGCACCCGAGCGAGTTTTGGCATGAGATATTGTACACGGCTATCCCATGTCATGTACTCACTAATGCGCTGCGAGAGTTTCATGACCTAACAATTTTTAACTGGTTTTGACTAGAAGCTGAGAATTTTAGGCACTACCACAAGCTTCATTTTTCGAATGAAACATCACAACTTTTGATATATAAATATTAACATTTAATGTTTTCCTTTCCCACAGCTATTTAAATTTGATGTCAAATTAGTCATATTTATTATTTTGTAACCGGTCTTGGAATTAGAAAAACCTGCTTGTATCCTTCGAGTAAATAAAAAATTTTGCCTGCTAATTTTTTTTTTATATTGATAATGTCGAAATAAATGTGCATATACGAAAAGTCCAAACGGAAGGTAAAGCTGAGAAACGAAGGCCAGAAAATGTGTGAAATAGCGTAGAGGTCGTGGAATCGTGCCGCATTAAAACAGTGTAAGGAAGAGATGCGAGCAGAAACCGGAAGATTTGCTTCTAAGAAGAGAATTTTGCGAGACGTGCAATAAAATAACACGGCTAAAACTTGCTTGGTAATAAATCAGTTCACGATAAATTTTACCCAGCTGTAAAAAAAAGTTCGATTGAATTTAAGCGACCGCTTAACGAGTGTCACAGAGACAGCAGCTCGGCGCTCGCCATGGGCATAGAAACTGTTCCAATGCAGGATCGGTAGAGCGGCTAGCGATGCGGCGCTTTCGAGCCTCGCGCCGCTCGCGCTCGTTCCGCGGCAGCTACCATCACGTTGGTGAGCGCCACCAGGTATGTATACCCCTCACTGCGACCACTCTGACAAACAATCGTTTCCATTGGCAGAAGGAGCTGCATGGCAAGACGTTTTAGCTGAGCGGAAACCAAAATCGAGTAGCTTCCCAAGCAGCACGAATTTTGACCATGTATTGGCCAATGGCTTGTGATGGTCTTCTGGCCAATGGCCAAAAAGTTGCCCTTCGTCGGCCAATGATTGGCCGATGGCTGATGGCCACCGGCCAATGGACAATGGGCAGAGAAAGAACAGTCATCGGCCAATGGCTGGCCGCTGTCCGGCCACTGCCCAAGGGATCATTGGCAGTCATTGGCCAATGGTTGGCCAAATCTGTGCTGCTTGGCGTGCTCGTGTCTGTCATCAAGATGCAGAAGGCTTGCTGCCACAAACGGGCTTGGGCTAGACGCCACAAACAAGGAAAAAAAAGCTTGTCTGTGCGACTTCTAAAATGTTTCGTTGTTAAATAGTTTTAAATATTCAGAACCTTAAATCAGAAAGTCTTTTTTTTTGTTTTGTTTTATTTTCTAGCTTTAGATAAACTTGCAGAATACCAAATGCAATAAACGTCGAAGAAGAAATCGTTCGTTGTTGCTGTTTTCACTAAGGGTTTTTTTCTTCTCAGTTTTATACCCACGCTTTCGGCCTCCCGCCACCATGCCCGTTATATATATATATATATAAAAGTTGCGATACCTTGCTAAGTTGTAATGATATATAGTTCGAACGTTTCTTTGGTCTTTTTAGGCAGCTTTAAGAAACCGCTTACCCTGAACATTGTAAAAAACGTGAATTTGCACATGAAACTGAAAATTTGACTGACCATTTTGAAACTGACGAAATGCATTTGCAATGAACAGTTGTGTGGTAAACTCGTAAACCTTCAAACAAATCTAAAGATACTGACGAACGCACTTACTTTGTTGACATAAGGACAGCATCGTACAAATCGTATGATGGCAGTTGTATTTCCTCTTTAAGGTTGGAAAGTGTAGCTTTGGCGTCCAGATAGGAGGTGCTACCATATTCTATTAATGCATACAACTTCCTGGTTAGGCTTTTCTGGAACGTAAAATAAAGATTAAACCAGAACGCACGTTTAGGGGGCTCGCAAATCAGGAGTTTCTTTTTTTGTTTCTTTTATTGTGCGTATCAGTTAGGACGCTTATGAGCCATGTCATACATTTTAAATAATGATTTCATAAAAAAACTTAAAAAATAACGCCCCTTTTGGAAAGTCGTGACCTGAGTTCTGAAATCAACCAAGTAGCACATTTAAAAAGCAGTTTAGAGAAAGCATATTAAAAAATTATTTTATTACCAGGAACAAATGTCACTATTGTACAGTGCTCCTCAAACGTAACGCCCAAACCCCATTACACAAATTGTATTATTTTGCGACCGGCTCAAAGCCAAATTTGTCACTACAACAGATGGAATATATTCATCAAGCTGGGTTCTGATTGCGGAGTGAAAACTTCACCACGTAGTTTGACCGGTATGCCTTGGACTAGCAAAACACTTGTCGAAAAACGCTCCACTTGCGGTGGCGTTCGGTTCCGGGGCTTTCCAGATACGTGGAAAATTTTAAGGACGTAATTAGGAGTAAACCACCAATACCAGAAATATTTGTGTGTTTATTAATACATTTTGGTGCGCATTTGGTTCCCATAATTTGCTATGAGCGTCATTTTAGCCACGGGTTTAAGAAAAAGGAGGACATGTGCCCCTGTACGAGTTCAGTCCATCAGCCGTACTCACCAGTCGTGACTAACTAGCGCTGTTTTAAAATTAGTGTCGCGACTAAGTAGTCGCGAACTAAGAGAAAAGATCAGCGACTAAGGATAGACTAGTTCTGCAAAAATTCACAAGCGCGAAGCTAGCGGGTGACTATCTAGTCAGAACTAAGCAGCGGAAGTGACAAAAAAAGATATATGTCGCGCGGACGCGTACTTAAACGCCGCTGCGTAAATGGGTATTTTATCGTAGAAAAACTGATATTTAAACGTTTATGAGAAAGAAAAAGTTACAATGAGACGCTAATTGGCCGAGACAGAGTTGTACAAGAAAAAAATTAAAGAAACGCGAGGAAGAAATACAGAAGCCGCATTGCCAGTGACATAAACAAATATGGAAGCGCCCGAAAATGCGTTTTTTCTCGCCGTCAAGCGCCCCGCTGAGATCGCTTTAGTGGTACCTCTGGCCGTTGAACATGAATATTTACACAATATTTCCTCCTCCAATTCATTCTACATGTGTCCCCCAGCGTTCCGAGACAGAGTAAGTGCTTCGTTATAGCGCTGGCGGTCAGCGGTGATACGAGTTGGCCATGGCGCTGAGCCGCTAGTCACCCGCTAAACACCGGCTAAACTAGCCCTACCTTATGACTAATATTTGTTGGTGATTTCTTAGTCGCTCGGGGCGACTAGGCCATAAACACGACTGGTGAATACCCAGCGCTCACTTAGCGGTGACTATCGCTCGCAACGTGATCTTTTTAGTCGACGACGTCGCCAGTCGGTGGTTAAACAGGCGCTACTCGCGCCTGGTGAATACAGATGCCTATTTTTAAAAGCAAACTGAACTCCCCAAAACATACTTAAGTGCCGGGATATAATACGAACTGAAAAACATGAACTTTCACCGGCCTAACTTGCTTCAGATATTTACGTCATAACGCATCATTTAGTTGACACCGATCTCGAAATATGCTTGTATTTCGAGTAGTTGGTTCTAAAATAGAAGCCAGTTTTCTATTTCAAAACAAGTCTCGCGTCGTACATTTCGCTTAATCGGTTTTTCCGGGGATAGTCCTTTTTTTGTAAGGCACAGCATTTGAAAATGTATTTTGAATTTAATGTTTGTTTAAGTGCATAGATATCGCAATTTTTGCTATTAAATAATATTTTAAAGGTAAGTACGATATAATCAAATGCAATACAATTTCTCCATATAAAACGTCTGTGCTACGAAAATTTTGATGAAAGTATAAAAATCTTTAAAGAAAATTCGTCATTTAATGCGGGGGTTAATACTTCTCTTAATCAAATATAAAGGACCAAAAAAAAAAACCCAAATGTCAATGTATAGGTTTGCTCATCCTGTGTTATAGCAAATGTGCTACCGGGGTGTCGCGAGGAGGGCCCATAATTTTATTCATTCCCAATGTGTAAAATGCATAAGTCAGAGAGTAGAAAGTGTATACACCTATTTGCGTAAATACGGAAACGACAAGGCCCATGCAGCACATGGTACTTGCCGATATTCGCGTCGCATCGGGAAAGTCATGGGAGTACCATTCCGACACTGCCCATACTGTCGTCGTATCAGGACACTCGTGCCGGTACCCTTCTGACAGTCGCGATTTTGGAGGAACATCTGTTAGGTCGCGCCAATGCTTAACAAAAGGCGAGGTGGAAGGATGTAAAGCAGCTAGGCTCCATCAACCTGATGGTACACAAACCGTTTTTCCGGAGATGTCGTCTCTGAACCGGCAATGGCGGCGTGATATTGAGCATTTTCGGCCGATTTGAAAATTATATTTAAAGATAATTGCGTTTTTTTTCGCGTATAATTTTGAAGATATTTTTAATTTTAGCAATCAGCGATAGATTTAAGGCGGAAATTTTTGCGAGTAAATTACCGTTATTTTTTGTGAGGTAATTAACTAATATTAGATATTGAAATCTACGTTGAACGCTCTCAATAACACCTGAATTTGTCACTCCAGTACAGTTCCAGACAACTAAGGCTGTTCAACACGACTACGCACCAGTGAAAAAAACAAACGTAAAATACAAAGTGGTTTAGAAAAACCGCGTGTCACTCGTGTAATGGCTCCCAGCGCTCTAAAGGAAGCACTGTAATTGTAATCACGTGATGATTGAAATGAATTGCAGGATCCGTAAAACGCCTAAATCAGGGATGACCTCAACGCGGGGAATATAGGTGGAATCTAATACATATTGAAATCTCAGAATTTCACGCTTCCTAGAAAAGGACATAACTTTCGTCTTTGACTCATTTAAGAGTAGGTCATTTGAAGAACACCACGCCGAAATAGAATCTATATCACGCTTTGACAGGAGGGGCAAAGGAGGAGGAGGAGAGTACAGAGGAGGAGGGAAGGGTACAGACGAGGAGGAGGGGAGATATGGAGGAGGAGGGTACGGAGGAGGAAGAAGACACGGAAAAGGAGGAAGGTGCGGAACTAGTTTGCGAGGAGTGTGATCTCTATTTGTACTATCGTGGACACTGTTAGCTATAACACCGCAGCGGCGGCCGTCCCGTACCCCCAGCGCCTCATAGCAGGCGCCGTCCGAAACTCCGCGCATGCGCCGTGTGGCGGACTCGCTCTTCCCGTTTGCGAGCACACCCTCGTTTTGTCGTCTGCTAGGCGCAGAGCAGGAGACGCCACAGTGGTGCTCGTCTGTTACCTGGCCCTAGCGAACTGGTCTCAAACTCATTTTAAACCGGCGATTTTGATTGGGGGAGATTGCAGAGTCATTGGGGCATTAACCCTATCTACGTTTTTTGTTGTTGTTTCTTTTTTTTTTTTTTTTTGCTTTTTCAGAAACAGGATTTCGCAATGCATCTTTCACAATATGCGCTCGCAAACCAGTATGAGCGCAGCAGGTGTGATACAGAAATAGACTTACACTCCGTTTTACCTAAAGTCCGAATGCAGCGTCAGCTGCAAAACGACATAGCCAATCAAATAGTGCAAAGGTGCAATGTCACGGGGTGCATCACCGGGGGACACAATAAGGTGCAAAAATGAACTTTTGTCGCTTTTGGTTGGCCCTATCGTCTCGTAACATCCGCTGCGCTTAGACCTAAAGAGAAACGGAGTATAACTGCAAGTTTGTCCCATAAAAGAAGGAAAAAAGTAGTCCACCGTGATATTACAATTAGGGGCGATGATTATCCTTAGCCAGCGGAGTCAGGGAATCAACTCTGGACGGTGGACACCTCTTACGCGGCGGTTTGCTGAACCGTGTTCAGGGGAAATTGGCAGGCGCTGTGGCGTCGTCTGCTCTGTGCCTAGCAGACGACAAAGCGAGGGTGTGCTCGCAGGCGGGAAGAGCGAGTCCTCCACACGGCGCATGCGCGGCGTTTCGGACGGCGCCTGCTATGAGGCGCTGGGGGTACGGGACGGCCGCCGCTGCCGTGTTATAGCTAACAGTGTCCACGATAGTACATATATATATATATATACTATATGTTTCTTTCTCATATTGTTTGGCACGGTATATCGCGAAATCAAAATACGTACCTCTAGAGCTGCGCTCTACTTTCGGATTACAGGGATTTGTGAACGTCTTTCATATTCTTTAATAATTATTCGCTACACACTTTCTTTAAAGTGTCGAACGTTCTATAAATCTAAATATCTCTTTAACTTTACGCGCTCTGCTAGTTTGCTTTGCAGGATTTTTGAACTTTTCACGTCGAAACAACAAAAAAATCTTACTTTCGGATCAAATTACATTAAAGCAAATCATATACAAACTTTTTTGTCTTTTGCAGACGCCACAAGGTGGTGTTCCAGTCTTTGACGTCCCAGCGAACTTCGTCTCAAGAAAAATTGCTTGGTATCGTCTCAATGGTACACTACAGGGTCTAAGACATCAAGGCCTACTACAGTGCAGGCTTACTCAGCCTTCGTGACCGTAAGAAACCGTGTCGTCAATCGCTTCAAAAAGCCGTTTACAACTCCCTGTAACGCCGAATTAGAGCGCAGCTCTTGGGGAGGAGGAGGGAAGGGTACTGAGGTTCACGTGTTATCGGGGGGGAGGGGTGGTCATGTGACCTTGGAGAATCACATGACCACCTCACCAAGGTCACGTGGGGGTCACGTGACCTGGGGGTGTCACGTGACCACGGGGGTCACCTGACCTGAAGAGAAATTTTTCCGCCAGATTTAGCGGGAAAATTTTTCCACTGGATTTAGCGGGGAAATTTTTCCGCTAGATTTAGCAGGGAAATTATTCCGCTAGATTTAGCGCGGAACTTTTTCCGCTAGATATAGCGGGAAAAGTTTTCCGCTAGATATAGCCGGG